CCATTCTGGGTTCTAGTGGCCTTAGTCTGCCCACTAGAGTGTGCACATGGTGTCCGACATTAGTTTTTGCCGGCAGATGAGGTAACGGTCAGGGTCACGTTTGCTTGACGATATCAGATTCATGTTCATGTTATTACCGGTTTCATGTTGAGGTTATGTATATGCCAAGATCATGATGTTTTTATTATTTTCAATGTTTACATTAGTATGAGTTTCTGCGGAGCACAGTGTTTTAGTGCTCACGCCCCCACGCATTTCATGTTTTTCAGGTTGCAGGGTCGGGGACGAGGAGTGAGCTGGCGGGCAGTTCAGGATATTTGTGAATATATGTATATATGTTTTACCATGCAGTGATTTCCGCTAAAACTATCAGTACTAATTTTCAGTTTTTGTTCCGACATTAGTCGGATAAGACGTTATAACCGTTTTTATTTATCAGCTTAAAATTTTAACGGTTTTCAGAAAAATCAAGTTTTTCACGGTAGCATCCTGAATCAGTTTTCGCAAAATAAGTATTTTATTTATTTATTCAGAAAATTGCGAAAAATCGCGTACTCTGATATCAGTAAAAAGTCGGGATGTTACAGCCGGTCTTCTCAGACCGGTCGGTTGGTTGCTGACTCGACCCATGACCTTGCTACGGCTTTGGGCGCGGTTGCTGACGGGACTGGTGCGGGCACGGCAGCTGTCGGGCCTGCCGAAGCCTCGGCCGAGGATGCTGCGTGCACTTGGCCATGGCTGACGGGAGTTAAGCCCATCGGGATGTGACCTGGCATTGCCGAACGCTACATGCGTCGGCTGCCGCGCGACTGAGTACGGTCGGGTGTTACCGCATGCTGGCGTGCATGACTGAGTGTTGGCGTGCGTACGCACATCACCAACAGTTACCTGTTGCGGCTATTGGCCCTACGCGGCGCTATACTGCGCACCACCTGCACACCCGCACACCCGCCGGTACGCTGCGGCCGCTACGTGCGGACAACGCAAGTACGATCGACCTTCGTCGGCCGTACGGCGATTTTCTCTGACAACTCCCACACAACTTATCATAACTTAACATGACATGACCATATATACTAATTTCCTTCAAAATTCATGAACTTACACCATGAGCTAAAATGTCCCGTGGCGCACGCGCGTAAGCGCAACCCGATGCCACTACCACAATAAGTTACTACTTGACATATTCTTCCAACCAACCTAACATGAAATTACATAATATATAAAGACTTAACCTAACATGAACAATCACACTTAACTCACCCAACATATCAAGCCTAACATGAGTTAGGACATTGGGGTTGGCCGCGGACACGCGCACCGTGCGCTGTCTTTGGCTTTGAGCCGATTCCTCGTTCAAACATAAAATTCTCGACATACATGACTTGACTGACTATGAAATGGTATATAATAAACAAATAAACATGAATTGCTCGGAATTTGTCGAATAAAATCGAAAAACACTCGGAGGTGACTTAATACGGCCTAACCAAGCATAACTTAAAATTTTCCATGAATTGCTGAACATTTATGAGCATAATAACCCTATCATGACCTTACTAACCTTAGAGGAATATTAGTCGATGATTATCTTCTTCAAACGCTTGAGCAAAAGTGCAAGATCCTCACGTGTTCCTCCTCCAAACAAGCTTGCGTGTGTGTGTGTGTAGGTTATGGCTTAATTTCACTTAATCTAACTTAGTTTGATTATGAACTAACCTCTCTTAAGTTTGCTGTGTTAGAGGTATGCTGTAAAAGCTGTGTTTTGCAGTTTCTATCAATTCCATTTTGATCTGGCAATCATGTTTCGGTCAAAGTACATATGTTTGCAGTTTATTTATTTATGCAATACATACTCCATGTCTTATATTGAGATAGTGTGGTTCGAAGAGTTTCGAACGAAAAGATCATCTATCGGTTCCTTATAAGACTAGACTATTCATTCACAGTCTAGACTGGCAGTGAGACCCCACTTGGAAAAAGACTGTAGTGTATTCCCGATTCAGTTGGTCTTTGAGTGAAGGATTACACTAGCACTTATGTTAAGTGTTGAACGAGACCACGGAAGGATAAGGATATGAGACTCACTGACCGTTGTCGTAACCTAGACCTTCAGTGATTGATGCGTTCTCTTAAGCTGTAAAATAATATAAAATAGGCATATATTATTATTTCTTATTTATTTGATTTACCAAATGATTCCTATTCTGTTAGGATGACATACGAGGTATTTTGGTAAGTAATAATAATTTTATGATGTGTTATTATAGATTATTTACAGTCACTATGTTCCATTGCGCTGGATTAATGACGTCCCCGAAATGAGCTCAGAAAGGAACCTTATGTTAAACCCAGCAGGTAGA